GAGGAGGGGATAAAACCCAAGAAAAACAAGTGATGTGCAGTATTAGTGCTTACCACTTACCACGTGACCAGTGTCCAGTTCATCCCAAGCAGTGACTGGCAGCTACCATCCAACTCTCCCCAAGTTTATAGACTATGGTATGGAATATCCCTTTGGCCAGTTTAGGTCCTGACCATGCTCCCTCATAGCTTCTTATGCAGGTCCTCACTATCAGAGCATGGAAAACAGAAAAGTTTTTTACTTAGGCTAAGCACTATTTAGGAAAAGTTAAAACATCAATGTGTTATCAACATTATTCTCATACTAAATCCAAAACACAACGTTGTACCAGCTACTCAGGAGAAAATTAACTAACTCTGTCCTAGCCAAAACCAGAACAGTATCCAGCTGTTATTCCATAATATTATAGTCCTCTGAGATTATATATATAGATAAATATATGCACACATATACACATATATACATATATATATATGTTTACATACAGACAATATTTCCTTTGGAGCAGATCATCCCTATTAGAGTTTGTTGAGTTCATTCAGTCTGTGACTTTGGGCTCTGGCTGAGTATCTGCAGTTTTGCTACTATTGCACAGCTTGTATATTGCAATCAATAACTACTTGATCCTGGTATTCCAAGACAGTTGCAGTAACTTTGATACTTCGCTGCTGATGAAGACAAATGTAGGATATCTGCAGACACCAAAATCTGCTGTGGGGCTGTTCTACATTCTAATGGTTGATTCTTAGTAATGCATTTTCTGACCTTGAGCTCTCCATTTATTTTTGAAGACGCTTGAGAATCAGTTTCAAATTATTGGAGGCATAGTTGTAATCTCCATTTTCTTCTGAGTGCATTGCTTTCAATTCCCATCTGTCCTTTCAGACACTTCCTCTATTAAATGGTCACAGAAGATGAATAACAGTAGTATGAATTCTTTAAAATGGCATTACATGTTATTCTGCTACTTATTAATGTTCTGTGTTCTTTTATTTACGATAACCTTGTGAACATTAAGGTAGGATGGTATCCACATGGTCTTTACATCCAGATGAAAAATGACACAAGTGTATTATTAACATCCAAGGATGGGAAAAACAATAAAAAGTAGGAGAAAAGAAGAGAAAGTGTGTTTTAGGTGAGAAATTAAATCAAGACTCTTATTAATGTGTATTTGGATGAGCTCTTTCTTAGTTGTCCAGGTTTAAAATCTAGTTGTGTAATTAATGTAATTGTCAGAAGTTTGTGCACTTTACTTGTAATACCTATTGTATGCTAATGTGTCTTTTCCAATTGATTTTATTCTGTCATTTAATGCACACAAAAATGAACACTGCAAATTTTGTATTGCCTTTATTGGCTCCAAGCACAGTGTATCACAGAGAGCTTTGAGATCAAAGGAAAAAAGGTTTTGCTTTTTTGTATTTTCTTCATATGTTGGAGTGTTCCATGATCCATGTTCTTATTTGGAGTATCTTAACAGTATGGTAAACTTTCCCTAGGTAAGGAGCACACAGTACACAGTAGTTGATTAAACCATTTTCAATATAACTGCACCTGTAATAAAATATTTCAAAGCCTATTACATGTGAAACTATGTTCTGTACTACTTTCCTGGCTTCTTTAAAAGACTTTAAGGTCATGAAATCCGCTTCAACTCATGAATCCTGGTGCCAATGATAGAAGATAATTTGTAATTTTAATACCAGGATTGTGATCCTTCAGGTCACTTCTGTGCACAGGTTCACCTCTCCTTTTCTGCAGTGCACACAGGCATTGAGCTGGCTTCAGTTGTCTCTCCTTCCATTTATCATGGTATTGCCCCCAGGTTCAATTCTCTAAAACCATGGCTCAGACTCCAAATCTTTTGACATTGCTTGTGCTGGCCTTTAAGAAAAAATAATTTCAGGGGTCTCTTCATTTCATTTCTTGCTTCAGTGTTTTCAGCTGCATCTTAGTCATATTTTCAAGCTTTTACCTACAAATATAAGTGAAAACCACTTTTTTTTTTAATTTAAAAAAATTTTTCTTTAATGAAAGTTAACAGTCTCATGCAATCACTTGCTGTTAGCTGTGGCCTTCAGAAAAACAGCAAACATCCCAAGATTACAAGTAAAATATGAGTGCTGCTGAGATAGTCATCAAAACTTCCCTGCTTTTTAAGTGTTTGGTTTTGTGGTTTTTTTGGGTTGTTTTTTTTTTTTTTTTTTTATGCAGAAACTTTATAATTATGAAGGGCAAGAGAAGGTACTACTAAGTCATGCGCGGCTTTATGGTCGGAATAAGGTACAGGAACAGAAGCTTTGTGATGAACAGAAGGTACAGAGAAGAAAATATGTTTCTGTCAGAGCCATCTGTTGTGGATCTCCTCAGGCTCAGCTGTGGATATGGGTGGAGATCTCTGTAAGATGATGGAAGAATTATCTGTTGGTAGGAGTTTTTAACTTGTACATATAGTCTGGGAAGTTATGCTACCAGAAATTGTAAAGTCCTGCTATTTTTGGGTGAGAAGGTCTGCATGTTCTGCTATAAGGTCACTGTATCAACCAGAGGTGATCCTGCTTTAAACTCAGAATCTTACAGAGTTACAAAGGAACTGGCTGTCAAAAATCATCTTTGATCAGGTGATTGTAAATCAGTTGAAACAGGTCAACAAGTAATGTTTTGGATTCAGAATGACAATTTTTGTGTGTGTGAAATGAGGCTCAGTGGAGTTAAGAGCTCACAAATTTTAATGTGAAGGCTTGGAGCTAATTTAAGCCAGTGTATTACTTAAGAGTTTTCTTGTATATTGCACGCACAAGGGGAGAATGGTAGGAAAGGAAAGTTGACCCGCTGGGCAAAAATAAGCACCATCCAAAAGCATTTAAGGGAAAAAACCTGCCTCTAATGGAAAAGGAACTGAAAGTTGGGATAGCTGGGTCCCAAAGGTCAGAAAATGCATAGCTATACCAAAAACATTCAAAAGCCTTGGTAAGCTGCACCTCATGAAGAATACTAAGGAAAAAAAATAGCAGGAGATACTATATCTTGTTAAATAAAAAGAGAACAAGAAGAGCTGTTGACTGACAGATAGAAATGAAAGATTAATCCCAGGTATGACCAAACAGTAAATGAGCCCATTCCCAGGATCTGGGATAGAGCTAGCACTGGGATGTGAATGAGGATGGTAGGGTGGTGGGAGTCATCCCTTCCTGAGGCAAAGCAAACCAATGGCACATTCACACAATATGCTGCCATCAGGTGAGAAGCAGCTCTGCTGCTGCTGTGGCTTGGCCAGGTGGAAGGCAGCTGTGAACTGGGCTCTGCTGGGCTGCACCAGTGTGGCTGCAGAAAAGTAAACCTTGTTCTCATGTAGCCCCTCCACTCAGCACTGCCTGGCAGCTTGAGAGGCTCCATCCAATTTTGAGCTATCCTTAGTGAAAACCTGAAGTAAGGCTGGCTTCACCACCCACTTGGAAATGTGGGAAACTTAGTTCCATCCCAGGCAAGCAGCAAGTGACACTTCCCCACCCCCAGACTCCAAGCTAGGCAGATGGCCTTGAGCAAAAAGAAATTTTATTGTAGGGTTTGAACATATTGAAAGGGGAAGCCTGAGCAATCTGCCATGGGCATGGCAAACATTTAAAATAATTTGCTGGCACTAATCCTGACTACATCTTCTCCACTGCTGTGCCGGGTGAGGTGAGAAGGGTGTGCTGATCGCCAGGTTGATAATTATATTGGGGCAGTGAGAGGCTTGGAGAGTTGATGCTCCCCTAATCTATATTAACTAAGGCAGCTGCGTATACATAAAAAACTCAACAAGTCCTGAGCTATCAGAGCCCTGCACATGCATCTGAAAGGCAACCCAACTGACTCCCACATCCAGCTGAGGAGCCAGTGGATATGGGAGGTGGTTCCTTTGATCTCCTCCTGCTCATATTTTGGTGGATGAGCATATCTGTTGTCATTGCTTAGCAGTCCTGTCCTCTCTTCCCTCTCTGTTCTCTAAGTCCTAAGGCTGCAATTCCATCCTGCTTTCAAGTATGGCCTGGCCTTCAGCCCTGCCTTTCCTAAGCATCTTCCCAAGAATGCCCAAGCATTCTCAGGTTCTTTGAAAAAAATTCCCCAAATAATATTGAACCTGCATGTTTGTTAAACCTATTAACGATTTAATGAAAAAGAAAAAAAAACAAAACAAACAAAAAAACCCCTCAAAACAACAAAAAAAGTAAAACTGGGTGATGGCTCAAACATTACTTCCTTCTGTGCTGACACTTCACCTGATCAGTAGCTTCTTTTCTCCCCAGGACATGGTGGCAGAGTTTTTGTCCTCTAGGGTGCTAGCCCTAGAGAGAAACATGTTGCTTTGTGACAAGAGCAAAAGAAAAAAGAAAGGAATGTTTGAGGGAGATAATCACAAATCCTATTTGAACACCAGAGAAGATCTTAGGGAAGAAATATGGAAGATAAAAGCAAATAAAAAGTGGAGTGAATCTTTCTAGTCTTAAGGAAAACGTTGAGACTGGGTGTGCTTTACAGGAACTAATATTTGAGTAAGAAATGACAGGGGATTAATTCTGACCTTGTAGAACGGAGGAGGCTGCTGGACAACAGGAGTGCACAGCAATAGTTATCTTGCATGTGAGGGCAGCCTTGGGACCTGCCTGGTTCCTTGTTTTCCTTCGTGACCTTGGTGCAAGAACTAGACATGTGCTTACAAAATCTGCCGATGACACAAAGCTGGTACGTACAGCTACTACAGTCCAGAGAAAGACTTGATTATTATGCAGGAAAAATTAGATGACCTTGTGGAACAGCAGAACAGAAACAGCATGAAATTTAATAATGCAAAGTGCAAAATCATGCCCTTGAAGACTAATCACCAGAACTTCTGCTGTAGGAAAGGGGTTCCTGAACTGGAGGAAGGAGAGTTAAACAATCTGATTGACCATAGGATGGCCGTTAGGTCTCCCACGCTATATGGCTATGAGAACAGCTAAAGATGATGCGCCAACATGTACCTGGTGAGAATATACAGCAGAGTTGTGAAGGAATTAGTATCAGGGTAAAAGGTTTTGAGCTCAGATCATATGCATTTCTGCTCATCTGTGTTTCAGAGATACTTTGAACTCCAATAAATGCAGGGAAATACAGGTATGTACAAGCAGGAAAGGGCAGATGGGGTAGCAGTGATAACCATTTCTGTGCTGTATGCCCTTTATTCTCCTCTCTCCCCCCAAGCTTTCATAAAAGGTTTGCTGCTCTGGGTTACTGTTTTCCCTGTTGAGTTATTCCCATCCCCTAAGGAATATTTCAGTCAACAGGCAAAGAAGTGAATTTCCCTTTCTACCAATGTATAACTTCATGATGGCGTGAGGAAATGTTTACCTTTATTTCATTTTTTAAAGAATGGTGACAATAGAAGATTAAGGCAAGAATGTAGAGTCTTCTCCTGGGAAATCAGTCCATGCCTGTCAGCTGTATCCTCTTTCTGCTCAGGATTGAACAAGTTTGAGCAGGACAGATGGACATGCCAGCAGCCTCCATGCTGCGGGGCCGGGTGCTGGCAATGACAGCTCAGGAACCAAGTGTTGGTCCTTCCACATGCAGCTTTCTCTCCCAGCCCTGTGGCTGGACTTTGCCGTGTGACTCCATATTTACATTACTGCAAGGAAAAGAGGCTCAAACCCTAAAACTAAAGGTTTTCAGTGCAAGTTAGCTGCTGGATTTTTACTCTTCTTTCTTTATGTTTTCTGGAGTCACTCAGGGTCAGAAAAAGGGAAGCAAATTCTTCTGTGGATTGGCCAAGAGGAGCTTCCAGCAAAGCCCCTTCCAATATCATCGTAATCTGTGAAAACTATCTTGCCATATGGAAAGGCTGTTCATTTTTTCCCTCTGTGCACAGTTTGCCCCATGTTAGCAGAGCCTATCTTTAGCATGTTGTCAGTGTTTTTTATGAAGATATATAAAAACTCCCACAACAGGAGTCCTCTGGCTCTGAGACTGGATGATGGAAGGAGGCTATGACAGACTGCTTAGCTGGCCCCACTGTTCAGAACCATCTGCTTGCCAAGGTTTCTCAGCTATGAAAAGAGAGGCAGATACTGCCCTTCTCAGCGGTGGTACGTCACTGTGAGTATGGAGTACCACTCAGAGAGTAGGAAAGGTTCAGATTAAATGAAATCCAAACTATTTAAATAGACAAGCAGGAGATTTTTTGTATTATTTTCTACTTTAAAATACTCCCTGTAAAAATTCTTATTTAGTTGTAAATAAGAAAGAAAATATAGTAGTTCTCTGTTACATGCAATTCAGCAAGGCTCTCCCTTAATTCATTCAGACCCTATTAATGAGTATAAGCAGTTTAAGCAGTTTGTTTAATGGCTGTATCTCTGCAGTTGCTTATACTGAACATAATATCCTTTCCTGTTGCTAGCTTTGCAACAAGTCACGAGAGTTATTTACAGACACCTTAGTTTTATCTAATTTAACAGCTTTGTGTTGTCAGCAGTTTTGCCATCTCATTGTATTCCCTCTCTTCCTGGTCATTAATAAATAGATGGGGCCAGAGAAACAGTGGAATTAATCCCAGCAGTGATCCTCTGGCACAGTTCCTGAGGCATCACACTCTTACCACCTTTTCATCCCAGTTATCTGTCATTTATCCCCATCCTTTTCTCTCTCTTTTAACCCATAAAAACCCTTATCTCCTACCCCAGGGCTACTGAGTTTCCTTAAAAGCCTTGTGGTGAATGATACCATCAAATGTCTCCGTAAATGCATATCTTGTGATTCTCTTTTAGTCAATATTTTGCTACCACTTTGTAACATTTGAAGAGGTTAGAAAAGCACAGTTTATCCTCACTGTTAAGTATATAAATTTATTTCTGCTGAGCAGTGCTGACTTGCAATTTATTTATCCTGATTTTTCTCTCTACTACATACCACCTGGAGGTGTTTTATAAGTATTTTAAATTATTTTCTCATTTATTTTGCCCATTAATGAATTAAGGCTTTTTAGATTTCTGTTTTGAGGGCCATTCTTTAGAGCTATTTTAAAGATTGTTACAGCGTTGGCCATTTTCCAGTTACCCAGAAGAGTGGCTGTTTTAATGATGAATTACATATCTTTAATGATAAATTAGGTAGGCTGAAATTGTGCTCCATTCTTAGGATTTGCTCAGAGTCTCCAAAAAATTCCATTTGGTTCTATGAGTTATTGGAACATATATTTCTGAAGTTATTACACCACTGATAATTTTGATATCTTTTACCCAATAGGGCTTTCACATCATTGCATGTAACTTCAGAGTAAAGATTCACTCTCAGCCCTTTTTTTCTGACACCCAAATGAATCATTTACCTTCACTGCAATCTTTCCTCACCCTGTGATTTAATTCTTTACACTTAGCAGTCCAGTAAACCTACGCAGCTTTCCATATCTGATTTACTTGCATTGCTTGTCATCATGCCTTTGACTGGTTTTGTGTATTTTCTGTGGTTCAGCTTGCTGTATGAATTGTACCTTACCTGTCAAATCTTCCATTTTATTTTGTTACGCTTTAACTGAGTATCCTTTCCTGAAAGATGCTTTGGGGATAAAAATTGATCCTGGAATTTTACCATTTAATAATTATATGACTTCCTTTGTTTCTTCTGAACTGTAGAGATCTGCTAAAGCACAGGTTATAAATAAATTCCACTCTAAAGTTATGAATAACATTTAAAAAAAAATTATTTCTCAGAAAAAGGCCTGGTTTAAATGCTGATATTTCATCTTAAAATGCTGACATTTTGTTCAAGTTACTGATCTTGAATATGAGTCCATTCACTCAGACTTGTAATTCTAACAGCTTCAAGGTAAATATTTATGTAAATCAAGCATAATAATTCTCATTGTAATTATTGTACTTGGGACCATACTCTCTGAAACAAATCCAGTAGTTAATGAACTCCATTACATGTAGTATTTCTTCATGCTTAATCATTTTGATTTAAGGTGTGTGCTGTGTTTACAGCACTGGATTTGTTTTTTTCAGACCTAGAATTTGTGTGCTAAAAGTCAATTTCTCCTATACACATTAAATTCTGTTCTGTGGTTTAGGTAGCATATTTTAACTCTTGCATTTATCTTCCTCTAAACAAACTAATCATTGAACATCTTTTGATATTCCCTTCTAGTAAGAGTTTCTTACTCACAGTTGCTTCATTTCTGTCCAACTTAGTACTGGCTTCTCAATCATCAGTAACCTTCTGTTTCTCTGCACCTTTTTGTTATTTACACACTTGTGATGAATCCTTCCCCCCCCCCCCCCCCCCCGCATCCAAGAAAATGGTATTTTACATGTCTAATTTATTTCTTAAGATTATACTGTTATTAAGAACTCAAACTCAAGAAGGCAAGGAATTTCCAGCTTCTAAAGTTGTTTTTCCATCAGTGTTTATGTACCAAAGACATTGACCACCATCTGTCCAGATTAACAGTCTGCCTCCCATACCCAAGCGTTAAAATACACGACCTCAAAGTTATATGTGTTTGAATAAGTAATGAGTAAAACTACCAGTGATGTTCATGAGAGATGCCTCGTGCTCAGACTTTTGAAAAACAGGCCACTTAGATTAGGACTAATCAAGCGTTTTATGGAGAAATAATTTTCTGATAAAAATAACTCAAGAGTTAGGTGCTCACTAGCAATAGAGACAAACCAGGATGAAGAATAAGTTTTAATCAGATGAAGCAGGTACTTGAACATGGTCATCCTAGCCCTACATGCATTTTTGCTATTAAGGGCACAATGAATGGGATCTAAAATATGTGTATATGGATGATAATTTTTAAAAACATACAGGCACAAATCTTTCTTTTCCCCTTGTTTGTTCAAAAATTTAAATAATGAAATTTACTTAGTATCATATTCAGTAATGATTTTGCTACATGAATTAAGTTTTGTGGCTTAAAAAAGCAATGCAAAAACAATGAAACATTTACACTCTAGAATTTTGTAGCAAATTCATTAGCAGACTGTTCTGGCTCTTTGTAACTGGGGCTTCTTTTAACCCTGTAGGACTAACCCAGGAAGTATGGGCTGAGGTACAGTGTGCATTTCTTCTTCCTAATGATGCAAGTCAGGATTCCCTTTGGCTGCAGGGAGATTTGGTGAGACTGGGACTGGACATGATTAGTCTCTGCAGGGTTCAGAAATCTCCAGGCACTGCCAGAGTGCAGTGCTCTTCTAAAGTTCCTCTGGGTTTCTGGCAGTCACCCAGCATGTTGCAGCACTGCAGGACCCGAGCTGACACTGCTTTAGAGGTCTCCTAGCAGGAGAGCCAGATGTGGCTCAGGTGTCTGCACCAGAGTGTAAACACGTCCCCCACTACCCAGGTTGCTCCCTCTCTTCTACATTTTTCTCTTTAGGCAGGAGAAATGCAAAGTCCTTTAAGAATTAGAGTTAGATTCTGTTACTGCTACTACACAATACTACACCATTTGAAAGCCTTCTTAATTATTTGATAGACTGGTAGAATCATTGAAGCTATTTCCATTTGCCTAATATTTGCTTAATATATTTGCCTTATATTTGCCTAATACCCTAACTTTAGGTGTGAAAACTGTACAGATCAAGCCTATTGAAAAGCCTATTTGTCAGGCAGTTTAAGAAATCCTGTGATACTTTCTCTCCCAATACTGCAGAAGCAATTAGACTATACTAGGAGGTGTAAAATTTGTACCTTTGAGGTCACAACCATGTTTTAAACTTCAATTTTCTTTTCCTCTGTCTTCATGCAAGAGCCAAAATCTAGCTTAGCTCAACTGAAAACCAAATGGATCACGACTGTTCCACAGCACTCCTACCCAGGATACACCAGGCAGACTGGATTTTTTTAAACTATCAGTGTTAGATTTGGCAGATTTGTTGATATGGCAGCTTGAGAACATGGAAAGGAAAGGAGAGCCCAGCATCACAAGTGTCTCTTTTTATTTCTGAGTGAGTGGGGTCTGAAGATGGAGTTGAGGTCTTGGGACAGGGTCTGGATTTGGTCCCTGATTCAAAGTTGCCTGAAATCTCTCCATTGACTCTGACCATGACTTAAAGCTGTAGAAAAATCCCCCAGTGCATATGTGTCAAACACAAGCCTGTGTTCTCTAAAATGGCATCTTCTTTTAATGGCAATAAAAGAGAGAATTCCTTGAGCCTCTTGTGGTCATTAAAAATTCTGCTGTCAAGTATGAATTTGTTCTAATTTGATTCTCAGATACTAGATGGTGTTTTGCCTTTGCTTTTGACAGAAAGTCTTCTATTACCAGGAATTCTCTCCCAGTTTTAGTACTTGTAGATGGAATTATCTTATTATATTAGGTGGTGGTATAAAATTATACCCACCTTCTTTTAGAGACTTGTACTCCAACCAGTGTCTGGCTATAGTGAGGGCTGCATAGATTTTTTTCTTTATTACAGAAATAAAACATCCAATATTAAAGCCTTTTCACACCAGCTTTGTTATCATCAATATCTCTGATGGATATGCTGATTCATTTTTTAATAGGGGATAATACTTCAGATGAGAAAGTGATCAAAACACAGAGCATAGTTAGGTCAAGGTAATTTAACTCTAGTCTTGCCTAGTTGTTACTGTGATCTGGACAGAAAGAACTGAGATAATTAAATCTTGATCATGAACTATCCTCTTCTTATTTCATATGGTTCCATTTGCCAAATACAATGCCAGCAATCCTAGCTGACATTTTCTGTGAAAAGACATTTTTAGGCATCATAATGTGTGAAGGCTGCCAGCAGGGCAGTCTATCACTTCTACCTTACATCAAAGGGATGTGCACTCTCTTGGAGGAAGAAAATAAAGCTAGTATAAAAAACAAGACTTTAGCAAGGAAGGTTAATGTGGGGACCTTGCAACTCAGAAGAGTCTAAGTTCAAATTTGGGAAAAAGACAGCACAACCAGCACTTTCAGATTTTCTTCCTTGCCCTTGAATCAAAAAGAATCTTTGGGAAAACACTGAAAAATACCTTTATCTCTACCTCTCATTAATGTAATTGCCTCCATTTCTCTTTCTGCACTCAGAAGAATGCGGCTGTACAACAACCTTGTGATTTCCACCACGCCTCGTTCTGCTTCTTCACTGCTGACTGCACCAGTCCACTCACCAAAGCTGCAATCTTAGGCTTAAGGTGTAAAGCATAATCAAGTGAAGATGGTCTAGGAAGACATGAAGCATTCAGAGACTTAAGGTGTGTTCCTTAAATAGCTATAGTCTTTGTTTCATAGCTCTATTTTTTGATAGCAAGTAAATTTTGCAATTACAAGTGGGGTTATATCAAATCAGTATGAAACATTCATAACTGTAGCTAAAATTGGGTGATGCCTGCTCAGCTGATGCATGCTTGAGAGGGATGTCTTTGATGCCAAAGCTTTTTAAGAGGGCTGATACTGTCATCGTTAGGTGTGTAGCTTACTCAGTTTGTCAGTCTCTGCTGGGGCTTTGCCAAGTGCTGGATTTAATTCCCAAGTTCTCCTGGTCAGAAAGGCAGTGTAGCCTGCAGTGTGCAGGATGGTAATACTGGCACTAGCTCTCATCTTGGGGAGGCTGCAAGACCAACAAATTGTAAGAAGATGAGCAAAACAGTTGCTGTGCGCACAAGTTTGTGAGAAGGAGGGAAAGAGAGCTCACCCATGTGAGAGACTTTGCTAAAGGGCAGAAAGCATCAGGGAATTGGGGAAAGAAGACTGTGCACAGTCTTCTGTGCTTTACAAATACAAATATAAGGGAATATGTGCTGAAGGGAGAGGGTGCTACAAAAGAAGTTCACAGTTCTCGTCAGGAAGCTGGAAAGAAAAAACTATCTGATAAACAACTGGCGTTTATTAAAAGATAGCATCTGAGTTTGTTCTTCACTGTTGAAGCCATAATTTAGAAAACAAGTGAAAATGGGTATGCTGGTGTCACTCTCGTCCCTTGTGGCATTTTACACATCACCCACCAACTGTACCATTTTTACATATGACTGTTTTCATAGACAGAAATGAGGATCATAATGATATAATGGAAAAGACAGAAGTCCATATTGAAGGGTATTAAAAGAAAGTGCTGCAACATAATTTGCCTCTTGCATTTTCCCTGACTGTAACTAATAAAAAGTCCTCCAGCCCAGCAGTATCAAATTTACTCAAATTAAAAAGTTGCTTCTCTGTGACAACAGACTATTCTTCTTGTTCCACTTCAAAAAGTGTTAATTATAGAACATCATGTTTTACAAATATTTTTTGTATAAATGCTGCATTAAAGCACTATTATAGTGTTGAGTAAACAACTCTGTGTTTTTTGCAATATACTCTCAGAAAAAAGTTGCATCAGTGTTTTATAAGTAGGTCAGTGACAATTCCTTCTGTATTTCTTAAATTCACATGGACTATCCAGATTCCAGCATAGAAATACATGGATAAAACTACTCTGAATAAAATATTCATGTTTTTCTTTAAAAATAAATAGACCCACATAAGCTGCAGTAAGAGAGGTAATGCTTTCCTGGTGCAGGATTGTCTTCTGCTTGCTTTAAGAGCTCTACTTGGTTAAGTTTATTACTATATAATTAATATGAGTGTAATCAACATTATTGCAATTAATATGTGCATAATAAATATTTAATTTGCAAGCAAACTATTAATGAATTTGGTGATTGCAACACATCCCTTATTTCTTCCTTTGATCTGAAAATTGTTGGAAATATAAGATATTGTGATTGATTCCAGGGTTGTCTCCCCAGTAAACCTTTTTGCTTATACTTGGACAAAATGTGTTTGTGTTATTGTTGACATGTCCATCGCTGTGGGGTTACAGAATGACATTTCACCCAAGAGGTTTTGTAAAGAGAAGGTTGTTTTACTGTCCATGTAGTAATACCTGTGACCAGGTGGTATTTCAAAGAAAGCCTCAGGAGAAGAATAGCAAGTGCAAAAGATTACTGTTGTCTTCTACAGATGTTTGCTTGAGTAATCTCACCTCAAGCATTCGTGGGGTTGGAAAAACCATCTTAGCTCATCAAAAACCAAACGAACAAAAAAACCCAAACTAACTCACAAAGCCCTCATCAATCAACCAAAGATCTCCCAAAACCAAACAAAATCCAAACTACCTCTAAGACATCTAGCATCTGGAGAGTCTTGAAAATTGCTGACATGTTAAAGGTTAGTAACTGAAATGGACTTCTTTACACAGAAACTTTGCTTAGCATAGAAAACACTTTCACTGATGCATGGTTATTAGAGATATAAGCTGCACCATTTTCTTAGGTCTGTCACCCTTCTCATGTGTGGACTAGATTATGGTGAGCCTCAGTATGAAGTGTTTGTAGTTCTCTAAGCTAAAACACATCATTTCCATTAAAAGGAACTTCTCCAGCCATATGAAATTATAAAACCCATTTTCTTTCAGGAATTTCCACGATATTCAAATTTAAGAAGGGACATACCCCCCAAAAATGTGAAACTATGTTTTTAAAGCAATCAGGAAGTGATACCATGGTTAGGCAAATATTTGAAACATTTAATCATCAGTATAATATTCCCTGTATTGGTAGAAATCCTCCTATTTCTGCTCACTTACTTCTTGATTACTGTCACTATTGACATTTCACATAGCAGAAACACAGCTCCTTGTAATGTGTATAATGTCTGCCCTGGGCTCCACATAGATGTGGGGGAATAGGTAAAGAAGGTTGGATGGTGTTATGAGTGACTTTTCATGTATGTGAATATGAATGGCCACTCCACAGAGATCTTTATAAAAACAAGTAGATTATTAAAGGGATGGGTTTCCCCTGATTTACATGCTTATGTTTCTTTGGCAGCCTCAGCAAATGGAGAATGGCACTGTCTGCTGGCAGCTGCAAAGGACTTTGGGCAGATGTTTGCCTCTTTTTGTTTGTTCACTTGTATGACCCAACTGGCAGCAGGGTTCATTATGCACCATTATTGTTCTGGATATTGAACCTATTTCTCTTCAAATTAATTCCTTCTGGCTGATTTATCTGTAACCAATGTGATTGAAATAGCATGAAAACAATCAGTGATATGTGGCTGTCGCCTGTTAACTCTCCCAAGGAAACCTTTGTTAAGACTGCTTTGGCAGCCAGTGGATTTCATGAGTTTGGAAGCACAGTTCCATGTCAGCAACAGGCTGGAGACAAAGCTGTGGTGCAGAAGAGGTGCTAGGCTGATTGGCACGGGGGTGGGATGTCACTGATGACTATGCATGATACAACATCAGGGATGCTGTGTGACCAGTTGCAGGAGTGGTACTAGCAGCAGGGTTCCTTTATTTTTTATTTGTTTTCAGACCAGTTGCAATGTGAAGTGGCTGTACTGGCTCCACCAACTGGAGATGAAGCTTGTAGCTCTTTGGTGGGTGACATGCATGTTGGGCACACTGGAACTGAACTCTCATGCCTATGCTCTGGATTTGGGTTGAGGAATGGATTGCATTTCCCACTTTCATGTATAGACACTCCTCTCCCTCTCTTTTTTTCTCCTTTCTTGTAAGAAAGAGTATGTTTGCTTAGTATGGCGCTTAGTATCTCGGTTAATTTATTTCACAAAGAAGATTTACCATGGACTCTTATGGTTGTCTTGGGGGGGGGGGGGGAAGTGGGACAGGGAAAGTGAAGGAAAGAACCACTTTCTCTTTCAGCCTTCATAGTTATTGTTGAGAAAGATGTGAAAGGTTACTTGTAAAGATTTTATAATTTGTAAAGACCATAGAGGATGAACTTGCGGGAGGTCAATATACAATACTGGAATCACCAGGTGACGTCAGGGTCCTACTGGCATGCATGTGAAATTAGGGGAAAAAATAACCCCCAGTCCTTCATCCTGCAGAATCTGACAAACTAGCAACAAGACATTTCTGCCCTGCACATTGGGAGTCTATGAAAGGGAAGGGAAGAATAAGGCTATTCTTAGCCCCCTTTAGAAGCACACAAAGTACGGCACAGAAATGTCACTTGCTGGGGCGGGAGTAGGGTTTGTTAAAGAGGACAGGACCGCTGTGCAGAATCGTCCTTTACGGCAGGGCAAACGAGCCTGCCGTTGTCAGCCCCGCGCCAGCTCTGCACATTCCCATCTCAGTCAGTTACTGCAAATGTTCTGATTTCTTCCCTTCCCCCTCTCCTTTCCCAAATTATTTTTATTCGTGCTCAAAGATCGGAGGCTTCGCCAGACCCTGGACGGCACTACCTCGGGACGAGACCCAAGCGGTGACTTCAGCGCAGGCAGCCGAGAACCGCCGACAGGCAGAGGAGCGCCCCGAGGGTCACCGCCAGCGCCGATCGGCCGCTGCCAGCCGCGGCCTCCGGAGGCACAGCGGCCCTCCCCGCGGCTTCCCCTCAAAGTTCCCGGCGGACCCTCCTGCACCTAGCCCTGCTGCGGCTCCCCGCCGCGCCCGGCGCTCCCCCGGCGGACGGGGCGGCGCGGCGGCACCTCCCCCGGCCCTGCCCAGCCCTGCCCGGCCCGGCGGAGGCGGTGGGCGGCTCCCGTGGCCGTGGCATAAACCGGCGGCCCCTCCCGCCGCCGCCGCTGTCCCCGCTGGACGGCGGGGAGGCGAGCGGCGCTGCCCGGGGATCGGGGCGGAGGCTGCGGCTGCTCTCCGGCGGAGGGGCTGCGCCCGGCGGCGGCGGCGGCGGGCCGGGAGCTGCGGGGCACGGGCGCGCCGGCGGCTGCCGCGGCCTCGCTCGCACGGCGGCAGCGGCGGGAGGCTCCGCCGGGCTTCCCCATTGTCTGCCCGCGGGCGGAGGGCTGCGCTGCCCGCACGCCCCCCACCCTCGCCTTTGTGTGCTCCGGCCGGCGGCGGGGCGGCGCGGCGCCCGCCGTGATGCGCGCTGCGGGGCGGCGCGGGGTCCGCGCCGCTCGGTGAGAGGCGGAGAGGGACCCAGCCTGTGCCCCGGAGGCTTTTCGCTCGCAGCAGCCGGAGTGGGGGGACTATGGACTGAGCGCATCGCCGTACCATGGAGTCGGGCACCCGCTTGAGCACGCTCTGCCTTCTCCTCTGCCTGGGGCCAGGTAGGCGGATGCCGGACCCGCCGGGAGAGTGCCCGGGAGCGGGGCCGGCGGAGCTTCGCAGCAGCGATGCTCTGGCCCCTGGGCAGCCGCAGGTGCGGAGAGCGACGGAGGTGCTGGTGGGGATGCTCGGGAAGTTGTGGTGTCTGCGTGTCGGTGATGGCACTTTCCGGTCAGTTTCAGGCTTTGGCGTGGACCCCTCGCTGCAGATCGACGTGCTGTCCGAGCTACAGCTGGGAGGCTCCACGGAGGGCGTGCGCCAAGTGCCGGGGCTGCACAACGGGAGCAAAGCCTTCCTCTTCTCAGGTACGGCCGCCCCGGCCCCGCAGCTCCGGCCGCGGCCGTCGGGCCCCGGCGCCGCGCACGGGGCGCTTCCCCTAAGTCCCCCCACCGCCAGAGATTTGCTCGCTTTGAGACCTCGGCATTCCGTTCCTTCCCTTCCTGCTCGATTTTCTTCCGCTCTTTACCGCTCCCCTCTCATTATTTCATAAATTTTTTTTTTCTCTCACCCCATTTTTTTTTTCTTTTGACTGGTAGACGCTTAATTAAAGTACCGCAGGAACGGGGATGGCAGATGGCATGTTTTGTGAGTCGTGGGGTGCGGTGATGAATAATAGCACCACCCACTCTACTGCTTTACTTGGGAAACGCTAAACATATCCCAGTTCCAGCTAAGGAAAACCTCACTGAAAGTTTTATGTGACTCGAGCAAAATGTTGAAGTGCCCCGGAGGAGGGAGGCAGATGGCTGGAAATGAGAACACCCTTTTTTTTTGCCAAAGGAAAGTGGCCCTTTGGAGCTTCTGTGACATACCCCTCCTGAGAAACAATGAATGAGTTTTGGTCTCTTTTAGTGCTTGTGATTGTTTCTTTGTTAATAGCAGGAATAGAAATAAAATAGTAGTCTTCTATCTTCCAAAAATACATTTAGAAGTTTTATTAAAGAATATTAAAAATTATTAAACTTCCTTATATTGTAATTAATAAAAGACTGTAAAATAACTCTCACTATCTTGTTGAATATATTATCTGTGTTTTTGAATTACACTTTAATAATCTACTGATATGTTAAATTAAGCTGGAATCAACAATATTTTTAGGAAAAAAAAACCCTAGTCTATCTTAATTAAAAAAAAAAAGCCTAGATCTGGCCTTTAGAAACAAGTCTCTTCTCTGATAGATCATTAAATGCTCCTTATAATCTCTGACTAAGCAAGAAGAAGGAATGTGATTCAACATCTGATGAATAAAAAGCAAATCTCCACATCGGCTTGCACGTTCAAGATAGGGGAACTTCATTGCTGACATCTTGTGTCATGCCAGGAGTTTATCTTGGATCTGAAGAGACTTCTAGTGCAACAGGCAAGAGGCTGTGTTTCAGTTATAGAAGAGTTATGATCCAAGGGAATAAGATCTGGAAAGGGAATTTCTTTTTCATGTTTGCATTAATAAGATAATTTATTGGGAAGCTAATAGTTGCCAAAGGCTTTTTTTTTAATTTTATTTTTTTATTTATTTTTATTTATTTTTTTTAAGATGACCTCTGTAGTGGTGTTCTTCCCTGGAACTGCCAGCATGTGTCACTATGGACGTGAATGAGGAGACACATGGGCATGTGTTAAGAAACACTGGCACATGCTGGTTTTAAACATCTGTGATGGGCTTGTGGCTGCAGAGCAGAGACCTCTGTGAAGGGGTCTGCTGCTTAGAATGGCAGGGCATTTGTATGCCAGTGGGATTGCTGTTGTGTCCTAAAATAGGTGTAATTTTTAAGGCATGGTTCAGAGTTGAAGCCCCATTATGCTATAACTATTGGGGTGAGGGAGTTGGGGGAAGTTAAAACTAACTTTGTCTTCAGTGGTAACAGGATTTGAGGTTTGGAAGAATAAGACTTGCTGGTATATTTTCCCAGTGTCAGGACAAAAAATTACTGGGTTACTAAAGAATTACTTTTTTTTTCAAGTTTCCCCTTGTTCTTTGCAATTACAAGTGTACATAGTTCCCAAATGAGTTAGCAGTTTATTTGTAACAAAAGAAGACAGGAGTTTTGCATTTTCCCAGCAGCCTTTTTATTTTGTGGAGAATAATCGGAGGAATAACAAGGATGAAAACACTTGTGTCTAAATGGTGGTTGAAGTCACTCAGTGTCCCTTAGGAAGTCTTTAATGCCCTGCAGGACTGGAGATAATTTTCCCTGCTACTGCATAAGATGACTACTGATTTTCTTATAGTAAATGGGGTCCTTACTGAGCAGAGAGATTTTAATTTTTGAACTTGCATTTAGAAATAGAGAAATTTCCTTCCTTGATCAGACTGCTGGGTCCATTTAGTCATTTTTGTTCTGTTCTTAGAACTCACATTTTGGGAACATTGCTGCAACGTGTGCCCCTTAATGTATGTATTTGCAGTGTGTGAATTTCAAATACGTGTGTGTGTTGCCTTGAAATTGGTTTGTCTGTGTGGGTTTTTTCTTATTGCAGCTAAGCCTTGGTCCTAGACAGAAAAGATTTTGTGAGAATGATGCAAATTACTTTAAATGATCTGTGAACTTGCTGTGGAATCTCCAAATTGTGATCCGTCCTTTGCCTCTTGGTTTCTTCCGATAGCAAAACTTTTCTCGTATCATATGCATATTTGCAACACTTTATTTTGTTGCCTTTTTGATAGACTGCATTCTCAACTGATATAAAGTCTTACTTTACAGAAGCTTAAACCATTGAGTCCTAAATGCTGTTCTCTATTTTAGAAGGAAATTATGAATGTGGCATTTTCAACTGCCAACAGGTAATAGACAAGTAAAGATATCTGATGGGAAAACTATATATATAGTTAAAGCAGAATAATCTCTTTACTTCAGTTTCTATGCAAAAAGTCAATTTTGACTGCTTAATTAGATGTAGTATCAATTTTCAATATAACTGTTTAGCAACTGACTGTTCTGGCAAATTCTCCCTTGTGTAAGTGACTTTTCAAAGGTACTTTTATTTCTAGGTCATATAAGACAGTAAGCAGTTACTCTTTAAATTTTAGCCTGGCACTGTCCAGTCAAGATAATTTACATTATACACATACAGTCTTGTGCCATGATTTAGAAATAATATGTTAGCCATTTGAAATTTGCTGTTACTTGGGCTTTTTTTTGGTATGTGTGTACTTGACTTAAGCAGATTTAGGTGCTGGATTCTAAGGCTTTTTAGGTGTCTGGTGCTCCTTGGTTGTCATGAATGGTGGCAACAGAATGCCGCTGTAATCTGTGTCTAGTTAAGCTGCAGGGACTTCTTTTTCTGGAAATGTGATTTGCAAAGTAATTGTAAAATATTCCAGTGTAGCTTGTGGGAAGATACAATTATGAATAGAAAACAGGGGGAAGTCTTCAAAATGTTAGTGTTGCTGTATGTGAACATCTGCCAGCACTTTCTAGCCAACAGCAGATATTGTTATGTCAAAGTATGCTGAGAGTAAAATTATTCCTCTGCTGGTCAGAGCAGCAGAACAGAAGTTGGAATATCTATGTCACTAATGTCTCTCTGTTGGTAACTGTTTACGCAAGTCAGTGAAATCTTCAGCACCTTTGTTCCTCCCTTTGCAAAACAGGGATGAATGACACTTATGTAAAGCCCAAACCAGATGGGTGGACTGAAGTGTAATTAATGTAGTTAAAAAAGGCTTTTGGAGAAATACACATTGTCATTCTTGTAGTTCTTTTTTGTTAGGATTCTGCCTTAATGGGATTTGAAGAGGTAGGTGAAGATGAAAGTCCAGTGTAGGTATTTTCTTATGCAAATATGGAAATCATATTGCTTCAAGAGGACTTGTGGCATATGTGGACTTCAGGGGAGTCTGAAGAAGTAGACAAAACCACAACCACAGAGCCTGAAGGGTGATGAGGGTTTTGGTGACTGACTCAAGTCTATGCTAGAAGATAGAACATTAACTCATGCAAGGTCCCAGTGAAGCCGGATACTTCAACTGGCAGTAGGAAATGGTGTTCTGAGGTGTGACAATCTAAAGAAGGGCTTCAAGAGTAACTTGGTCTCCTCTAGCATTTCACTTGGCAATAACATTTTGTCAGCATCCCTTTAAATTCTGTATTATATGTATTTTGTAAATAGATGGAGTATTTAGATAGTCTTTCTGGGTCTCTCTTGTTGAGAGCAGATGCTGTTCATGAGACTGTCTTTGTCCAAAGAGTATGTGTGTGTATGTAGTAATGGAGACACCTTCCAACTGCCTCCAGTGGAGAGTGGTGGAAGGTACACTGTAACTCAAGGGATGAGAGGCAAAACAAAAAAGGAAAGTCAGGTGATGTGTAAGGACAGTATATGCCCATCAAAGGATGTGTATTCTCTTCAAAGGGAAGGCTGAAAGGTGGACAGAAGAGTGCAGTTAGATGGTTACAAACACAGAAACGTGCATTTAAGGAAAAGATAAAAAGGACGTGTCAGTCATGAAAATGTGAGAGCTTATGTATCTGAATGCAGAATTTGGAATTTATTCAGAGGAAGGACAGTTTTAGAGGCAAAATATGGTATATTTTGATGGGGATCAAGATGTGCTATGAAACACCAGAAAATAATGTAATCTTTCAGTGGGATAAATGAAAGGATTCAGCAGTACTGTTGTTTGAATTGGTGGTGGCTGGCACAAAATGCTGGCAGGAAAAAAAAAAACTAAAATAGGCTTCTTGGTATAACTGTTTTATCTGTTGTTGTATGACTGGATCATTAGTGTGTTATTTTAAATACTAGCAAGAAAACATTATCTTACTCTACTTTCCCTTTGGAAAATTCACTCTATTTTGTCTCATGAGGTCATCT